TGGGTGCCAATACCGTGCAACCTGATGGAAGATCGTCAATTGTTTCTGGATATTTAACACACAATCTGCATTTTGGGCTAATACAATTTTTCAGGATGTGAGCTTCGTAATTTTTAGTTCACAATTATTCGCCTTGTATAGCAAGAATAAAACCTTCGGTTTCAGCTTTTAACCCTGCACTACATAACCAATGATAGGTACGGGGTTTGTCTACATCACATTGTTTGGTACGGGCAGAATATTGACCGCGAAGAGGTTTGTCCAGCCATTGTTTCTGTATCTGGTCGATTGCATTTGTTTTTGTTTCCTTTTTTAAGGATTTTGCAGCTTCAGTAGATGTATCATGTTTTACTTGCATTTTTTCACTCCCTTGAAACTTCATTTTGAAATTGTTGGCTTCCTTTATTATTGAATACAGTTTCTTACTTCTTTCATGTTCTTTGACACATATCATCCAGTCTTCTGGAGTTTCTAGGTATCTTTGAAGGCCGATTGTTGTAGTTTTGTAAGATACTTCTATTTGAACTAATCCTCTGCCGCCGTCGGATCTGGGCACATACAGACAATCAACATCAGCCTTGGGATGATGCATCAGTGACAAGTGAGAAGCTTTCTCGTTTTGGCGTCCATTCGCTTAATGTCAGCTATGGTCCAGCTAAGGATTCTGGAACTGTATTGCACCACGGGGACAGCCAATGTGTTTATGGATGATATTCTAGTCTTTGGCAATGAATTGTAGGGTCTGTTCAATACCATGTAGAGTAGGTGATTGAAAAATTTCTTGTTTACTTTGTATCTATAGGTATTATTGTTTAGTTCATGCGTAAAAGGGATTAATAACAGACAAAAAAGAATGGGTGACAGGGAGTCTTCTTGAAAGATTCCTCGTCGGATATTCAGGCGATTGGAAGTGGCAGTGCCTTTGGTGTGATTTAGGTATAATATGGTTTTCCACATTGCCATACTGTGTTTAAGGAAATTTACTATCACCGAGGAGACGTTGTACATTTCCAAAGTCAAGGATTCAGGAGTGTGGCACACTATCAAAGGCTTTACGGTAGTCTATGCATGCTGTGCTAAGATTTCTACCTCTTTTCTTACAGTTTTCTAGTATTATTTTGATTATCACTAGTTGATCTTTGCAAACATATGAATCTCTCCTACATCCCTTCTGTTCCCGAGGAAGAATGTTTTTTCTTCGAGAAAAGACTAAGCACAGTTCGTCAAAATAGACGTGATCAATTTGTGGTGGACAGACATGTTATTGGTCTATAATTTTTCCGATCATACATTTTTGGCAGGATTTATGAAATACTTTCAGTGATCCATTCTGAGACTTCATTGAGATTACTAATAAGTATTGATAAAGTTTATGCAAGAGTTTTATGGATCAATGACAGATGATAGAGCCAAAAATTGGGTACCTTGTCATTTTCTAGAGATTTCTATTTTTAGAATTTCGTTAGAGTTTGCCTAACATTAGTCTTGGTTATATTTCCCTATTCTTGTTGAGGTTTATCCACCCTACGTTCTTCCGATTAAATCAACTTTGCATTGTGGTTATATTCCTTTAGGCTGCTCCAAATATTCTCCCAAAATTTCTGCACTTTTTCAATAGGTGGTGGCTTTTTGACATGTATAACTGCTTTTCAAATTTCCCTGTAAAATTTCTTATGGTCCGTTTGGAATATCTTATTTTGGCGATAGAACATCCAACGTTTTTCCTATCGTCTTGTTCTTCGTGTCTTTAACTGCAGTTTCTGTTTTAGTATTTCCTTAATTGGTGGAATTTCATGTAACAATTTAATTTTATATTTCCGCTTGATCTTCCTGCAGTTGGCTGTTGAGACATTTGGGTTTCTTGAGATCTCATCTAGTACCGATAGCTGGCTCTTTTCGTCTGTTGTTTGATCTTTTCATTGTCTTGACACCAAGCTTCACCGGAGCTGCTAAAACTGTTGCGTATATAACATTATTTACTTTGGTGATGTTTCCAAGTGGTTTCTCCGTTAACAGTATTTGCAGTGCAGGGTTGTATATTTGCATAATATGCTTATTGGACTCTGTCATATGAATTTTTAGAAGCTGGTCTCTGTCTGACACTTGTGAGCGAGTTACTCTGCTGAGCATTTGAATTATGTAGTTTTTCACCTCTGTTGTTTTCAAGGAATTCTGTCCTAATGTCGTTTGAATCATATTCAGTGACATGATTTGAATAACTGCAGTTTATGTCGCAGGTAGATTCTTCAGTTTTATTTCCTGAGAGATTATTATTTCATATCTCATTTATTTTAGTTTTTGCCTCATCCTCCGTCATATTATTTATTTCCAGTCTCATCCCTTTATTGTTAGATTGATGGGTTATTGTATTATGTCATATTAATTTTATCTGATCTATTTCCGCATTTGTGAGTCTTTTATTTCGAACGATGTCCAGTTCCTACTATAGTTCTCCATATTTGGTATGTTTGATTCGTGATGTCTTTCTGTGGATTTTTGGGTGCGGTGAAAAAGGATGTCATGACTTGTTGTTACTCTTTGCGAGTCCATTTCGTTTGCTTTCTTTTTATTAACTATTTGGTATCGAGTCACTTGGTCCAAGGTTGGAAATAGTCCGGGTTTGGTGATCAGGTCTCTCATCGTTGTTGAAAGAGTTTGTTCCAGTGACAGATTTTTCGGCCCCAAACTGGTTCCTCTCTGAGGGACGTATCTCTTGTTGATCCGAGTAATGGCCGATCCGATATAAGTACTTCTTTGTAAGCAATGAAATTTGTAATTTTTTGCGTTTTATCCTTGACCACCAAGGGGTAATTTTGTTTAAGATACCAGCTCTAGGACGACCAAAAATAAAGAGCTCGTTCTACCCACGAAATGGAAAGAGGATTATATTCAGATGTCCAGGGTTCAAAAGTTTATCATCTAGTACTGCATTCATGGGGGTTAACATGGGGATATAGCTATGATATTGACCATACTAAGTTTTAACTTATAAGTCTCAATGACCACTACCAGATGAAAGGTCAGGTTGACATACATTGGGGTTACCACGAGAGAAAAAAAAATAAAATAGTTAATCAACCAATACGAACCTTACCCATGCGCATTCACACACACACACACACACACACACACACACACACACACACACACACACACACACACACACACACACAGAGCCAGAAATGGCATCATAACATTTTCCACTGAGTATTTAAAAATAAGGCCACACACATTTTACATAGATAAATCCCTTCGTAAGGTGTGAGGTTATTATTATTATTATTGTCCACGTTGAATAAGAAATTCCCTCTTCTTCTTCTTCTTCTTATTATTATTATTATTATTATTATTATTATTATTATTATTTCCTTTGATTTCTGTTGTATACTCATTTCTTTCCGGGTCCAACCAAAGTCCTAAATTCAGAAATGTCATTATAACCTTTTCCACTGAACATTTTTGTAAAAAATAAAAATAAAACAATCTAAGATCACACACAATTTACATAGATAAAGCTCTTCGTAAGGTGGGAGCTGTGTTTGCGAGAACAATTCTTTTTTTGTATTTCTTTAAGGCATATGCTACCAACGATCCCTTCAATCGGAACTTTTTCCAATCACGTCGAGGGCACCAACCACAACTGGGATCATTGATATCCCCATGAGTCACATTTTTTTTATATTTCCACTTCAAGATCCTTGTATTTTGATAGTATTTTTAAAGATCTTCAAAGATATATTACAATCTGCAGGGCCTGCCATGTCAATAAGAAAGCCCATTCCGTTTTTTGTGGTCTTTGATCACTATGCCCGGGCCATTAGCTTTGATTCTTCTGTCTTTGTATATATTAAAGTCCCATAAAATTGTTACATGTCCTATGTCTGTAACCGGGTCTGTGTAGTGTTCATACAAATTTCTTATTTAACATCTGTTATCATTAATATAGTGACATATGTTGAATAAGAAATTTCCCCTTCTCCTTCTTCTTCTTCTTCTTCTTCTTATTATTATTATTATTATTATTATTATTTGAGAGAGCGTAGTGTCAGTCTACCCGGATTAAAAGTGAAAAATTAAATCCGAGTGTCGTGCCCACAAATACAACACGATGCGAAGAAATGATTTTTTTTTTACATAGGCAAAAAGGAAAACCAGATTAAAATAATCATATATTTATGTACACATTAACATTTGTTTTTATATGGTAAACATTGTGTTTGTTCTGGTCGTAATCAAAGTTCAAAAGTTCAAATGTTCGACAAAATTTTCTATTTGTTTAAGGTTAGTTCATAAAGTCATATACCTTGGTCAATATAAAGTGTAATATCCCAGCAACAGAAGGAAGATAACCCCTAGAGACACAAGAGTTAGGTCCCCTCCGGACATCCGGAATCTTAATCAGCAGCTTGGCAGCAAAAGGGGAATAGGAGGCCACCATGACCCGAGGGACAATCAACAACCATCTTAACATCCTATCAACGCATTAATCGATGCCTAGCAAGCATCGATAGCCTTTTGCGCAGAACATTACATTGGCGACGAGGACTGAGTTGTTACCCTCACAAAAACAGAACATCAAGACACTTAAAAAAAAAAAAAAAAAAAATTCAACACGTGCTCGATATATAACCAATATGACCGCCGTACCACACTACCCCAAATTTGATTGTGAGTCAACAGCCAAAGCAACAAGATGGACAAAATACGTAAAAAGACTGAAAAACTATTTTGTCGCACATAACATTGAGGATGACAAACGGCAAAAAGCAATCTTACTAACGTTTGTCGGTTAGGCTACGAGTGACATCATCGACGAAATACTGCAGGAGCGAGTCACACTGGAATAAAATGAAACACATTTCGACAAGCTTGTCTCAGCGGTGCACAACCACTTCAACCCTGAAAACGACACGGAATACAACCGATTCGTGTTCCGAAAAATTAAGCAAAATAGCCCAGGCATCGAAGACTTCTACCGCAAACTAAAGAAAGCTGCGGCTATGTGCCGTTTTTCCGACATGGATTCCGAGGTGAAGTCCCAACTAATTACAGGCTGCCTGTCGGAAAAAGTCCGCCAGAAGGGACTCATGAACTCAGATATGTCACTACATGATTTAATAAACTACGCAAGGACAACGGAGACGATAGCGTCGCACCTACAAACAATGCGACTGGAAGACAACAACACCGCTACTGCTACAACCGCCCCAATAAACAAAGTCGCGGACGAACAGCGCCAACCAAGCAACTATCCCCGGCAATACCAGTGCAGGAATTGCAACGGGAAATACCCTCATGAGCGGGGACCGACGTCTTGCCCTGCATTTCATACCCAGTGCACACACTGCGGAATGTGGGGACACTTCACCTCTGTCTGTTTCAGAAGATTAAACGACGGAGACAGACAACGGAAAACAAATCGTCCCCCACGAACACAGACCAATCGACTCTCAGTGAACCGCACTGAAAACGACCAACGGAACCCACATAGCAGTGGTAGTGATACAGAATACGTGTTCCACACAGCTGGAGCTCGGAACTTCCCACCTCCAATTGAAATGGATACTCCAGCAAACAGGAGTTCATCTTTATTTTTGGGGCTTCCCAACCAAATAAAAGGGCAACTTGATGAACAATCACAAACTCTCCACAAAATCAATTCCACAATCCAGAAACTTGAAGCTGAAAACGCTCTTTATAAGTCCGAAGATAGCTCGGAAAGTAGCTCATCCGAAGATTTGGCTTTAGAATGGCTGTGGCCGGACCAAAAAAAAAAAAACCCTCTCAAAAAAAAAAAAGAAAAAAAAAAGAAAGCATTGTAATATCCCAGCAACAGAAGGGAGAAGCCCCTAGAGACACAAGAGTTAGGTCCCCTCCGGACATCCGGAATCTTAATCAGCAGCTTGACAGAAAAAAGGGAATAGGAGGCCACCATGACCCGAGGGACAATCAACAATCATCCTAACATCCTATCAACGCATTAATCGATGCCTAGCAAGCATCGATAGCCTCTTGCGCAGAACATTACATAAAGTGTGTATATATGTACGTGTGTCTGAAGCACATTTTAACGGAGTGTATGCGCGGCTGCTATCTGAATGTGTGTGTAGAGGGTGTGGAAGCACATTAGTAGAAACTTATGTATGTGTGAGTGCTAATACGTGGAATCTGATTAGAGTTGTTCCAAAAGGAAATGGACATACAGATAGAGGATCAGACTTACTTTTTTTCAACGACTATGAATATTTCTTTGAGTTGTGTGACTATTCCTTTGAATGTTGTGCAGTTGTCGCTGACCAAGGTGTTGTCAAGATAACAAGAGAATTCTGACCAGGTTTTTACAGATTCAACCACTTGTCACCGACTGACGATCCACGTCCACCTGCTGACTGGGTCTTTGCTGTGTGTGTTTGTATTGCCCCCGAATTCGGTGTATATATAGTTATCCTGATGGCGTGATTGGCTCCAAACGAAAGCTTTTCGGTTTACGCGGGATAGCACCCTGCAACCAGTTCAATTGGAGTTCAAACGTACGGACGGAGTCGGAAACATAGCAGTAATGTTCAAACAAATTCCAGAAACCATTAATTTAATTTTGGATCCTATTTTTTTTACTGATTTGTACAAAAGTTTTTGTTTTAGGAATTCTGATCTTATTTATGTGTGAACGTTCCTTACTTATTTGTGTTTCACCTTTTGGTTGTAAAATATAGGATTTTATGTCCTATAAGAACAACACGCGAAGAAAGTGTTGATGGGGTATAAATATACGAAGTCCAATAGACCCATTATGACATTCAATCTGACAAGTGTATACAAGACACATCCATTACAGCCAAATTTGCGTAATATAGTGATAGTTGTTGATAAAAAAAGACATTTACGTATATACTTAAAATAATCATGTTCTAATTAAAAAAAAAAAAACTACTTTAGGACAACATTTCAAAATTTAGAAAAAAATAAATTTTAATATTTTTTTATACATTTTTTGAAAACAGTATCTGTCGTTCGGTTTCGTCTGTTAAAAAATCTCCTAGAAATTAAAAATAAATCCGGGTATTTTTTTTCTTACTTCATTCATAATTATATATAACTCTCCAGTCAAGTTCATTTCAAAAAAAAAAAAAAAATAACACTATGGTTTAGTTTAGTTTTAGTTTAGTTAAACATGCAGCCCGCATGCGGTCCGTGAACTATTTTTCTGTGGATCACAGGGTAGCAATTTCGTTCTTCCCTATGAAAGGCAAGAAAACTCGACCTCCATCCCACCATGTATCAGCAATCTAACGAGAAGACAAACAACTCAACATTCGAATTACAAATCGGAGATACCAAAATTAAACAGGTGCAAAAAATTAAATATCTAGGAAGTGTTTTATTTATTTATTTTTTTTAACACGGGACAGAAAACGTGACATCGAAATCCGAAGGCGCATTAGGATAGCGAAAGATGCCTTGCAAAATTTAAGCAAAGTACGAATAAATAGGAAAATTACATTGGAAACAGAAAAAAAAAGAGAGTACTGAACTGTTAGATAACATCATTACTCGTATATGGCAGTGAATGCTGGACCATCTCATCACAGAAGGAGCAAAGACTTGAGGCAACAGAAATGTGTTTCTACAAAAGGATGCTGACAAAGCCATAGACTGAACACGTGAGCAACGACGAAGTTTTAAGGAAAATGGAAACAAAAAAGACATACATAGCATCAGAAAGAGAATTGAAATTTCTAGGACACTTAAGAAAGAGGGCTTGGAAAATGTGACACTCACAAGACATAACGAAGGCAAATAGTAAAGCAGCGCATTGCCCACCTAACAAGCTCGTGTAAATGGTTGGCAGAACAGGGATTAGGTGAGATCGCTAAAAGATAAACTTTACTAAGGTCTACAAAGGAAAGAAGGTTATGGAAAGTCACTATTGCCCACGTCCTGAAGAGACGCGGCACATAGAAGAAGATCTGAGGAGAGGGTACAAATGTACTTTGCGACAATGTATCGGTCTCTTTGTCTTTTTTTTTTTTTTACCTTTCCAATTTTCATCCTAGATATGTAGAGTAAAATTGTCAGGGGCTCAGTTGAGCAGTCTCCCTACAACCACACTCGGTCGAAGGACTGATGAGGATGATGATGATGATAATTCTTTTTCATTCCATCTTTAGCTATATGCTATAATATGCTAGGTTTAGTTAATATTAACATTTAACAAACTATTAACACTTTACTAGCGGACCAGCCAGCTGGTCAGACATGCGTATTTGTTGAAAACGGCATTTAATGATACCAACTAGCCGTAGAGGAGTATACGGTATTAAATCAGTCACGAACAACATGATGATTTTGAATGAATATTTAAATTTATTTTTTTTCTAAATTCTGAATTTTTTTCTAAAGTAATTTTTTATTAGACAGGATTATTTTAACGACGACGTGTTTCGAAATTATCCATTTATTTTTATGATTTTTCATCGATCGAATTTTATTTTATTCAGCTTGCATGTAAAAGACCAAAGGAAGGAAAAAAATCCTCTGTCACATAGCCTAAGCATCGGAATATATATGACCGAGAGGAATTAATTTGCGAAGATTGCTCACAAATTGAATTTAAATTTTTATTTATTTAGTTTAGCTTAGTTTTGACACAAAGCCACAAATAAATATTTTTACACAGATACGAGCTTGTTAATAATAACCTAAATTGGCTTAAAACTACGAAAATTATGAATAAATTCTATCTGAAATGTGTAACTAAATAAGAAAATGACCGAATTTTATTCTGGAAAATCCGGTAACGAGAAGATATTGAAATTAAGTCGACGAAGTATGTTCTGTTTTTATTAATTTTCAGGATTTGGCACATTTTTAATTCTAAGTATTTTATGTCATAGTACTGAAAACATCCGGGTAAGAATAACGAATGAGAATTGGTGATGGAAAAGTAAAAAAATAAAAAAAACGAATATAAAAAAGAAATTGTATTTTAACACACACACACAAACACACACAACACGATTTAATTGTGGCTAGTTGCTGAAAATAATAATTATTTACAACTCTAGAAGAATGTCCACTAAACCATAATCACAAAGGGAGATAAAAAGACAAGAAGAAAAACGAAAGTATACAGAAAAAAGAAAAAACAGAGACAAAGAGAAAAAAAGAAAATGAAGATAAAAGAACAAAAAAAAAGACAGAAAGAAAACAGAAAAAGAAGAAAGGAAAAAGAAAATGGAAACAAAAAGTAATAATAAAAAGAATAAAAAGTGCAGAAAAAAGAAATGAATAAAGATGGAAAAGAAAAAAATGGAGAAAAAAGGTAATAAAAGAAAAAGATGTAAATGACAAGAAAAAAGAAAAAAACGAAAGTAAACAGAAGAAAGAAGAAAAAAGGAGACAAAAAAGGGAAAAAAGATGAAAATAAAAGAAAAAGAAAGAAGAAAAAGAATAAAAAGCCAGAAACACGAAAAGACCGAAAGAAAAGAGAAAAAGAAGAGAAAAAATTAGATGAAAAAAGACAACGGAATCGAAAAGGAACAGGGAAAAAGAGAAAAGGACAGAAAAAGGAAAGAAAAAAGATGTAAAATAAATAATGAGGAAGAAAAAGATGAAAATGAAAAAAGAAAACGAAAATAAAAAGGAGAAAAGAAAAAAAAATAATAAAGAAGAAAAAGCCAGAAACAAGAAAAGACAGAAAGAAAAGAAAAAGAAGAGAAAAAGAAAACGGGAGCAAGAAAACGAGAAAAATGGCATAAAAGGGTTAAGGAAAACAGATGAAAAAGAAAGAATGTAGAAGGTGAAAAAATATAATAAAAATACCATCTTTCCGATTACTTTTCTATTGTTCTTGATCCTCAATAATGCTTCTGTTTTCTAAATCTGTCACACCTAGCAACCCCTGGTGTCTTAGTGGCTTTACTGCTTTTTTCGATTAAAAAAAGATTAAAATGAAGATTAAAAAAGAAAAAAAAAGAAAGAAAATTCTTATTTCTTTTTGTTATGAATTCATCGCAGGTAGATTTCAAATACAAATAAAAATAAAACCTCCTGACAACAATCAATTTGTTCGTAGTAAAATTATATGCGTGAAATATTTCAAATTCTCAAATTTAATTACGACATAATAATAATAATAATAATAATAATAACTATCTGTGCCTGTGGAAAATCCCCGCAGTTTTTATAACATTGATTTTTAAATTAAATTATGAACTTAATTTCTAGTGATTTTGTTTACCTAACTGTCGTAGCATACCTACGGAAGTTAATGGGTATGTCTCCATTCGCATAAATACAGTAGTAAATACTGTATGTTAGTCTGCAGTTGGAGATTCGTCTTCAGCTGTGCTGGTCAAAGTCTCTACCTCCGGGCAGAGTGGATCCCCAGACGAGGCTATGTCGAAGTGCAAAGAGTCGTCCCGGGAATCAGCTGACCGACCCCGTTTTATACGGGGTCTACGGGGAATTGTTGACCGAGCCTACGGGCTCAGATAACCCATTAAATTTGACCTTGTGCCACACATGACCGCGTGGGGGTTGGTAGATATCCTGCAGTTGGAGATTCATTGTGGAATTCACTTGACTCACTTCTAGCAGTTGACTACTTCTTTTACGAGCCGCTGGCGAATCTTATATGTGTTGTTCTTATACTAAGTATTACCGTTCATTACCAACCTTCGTTTGATTATTGTATTCAGTAACCTTTCCTAGGTTACAACACTAACGTTTTACTTTTATATATTAAAATTTAATTAATTTTTTTTTTAATTTCTAAAACTCGTAATGTAATTAAATGTTTATATACGCACATTATATATGTTCCAAAGGTTGTCATATCCCACTGTCTATAAAATGCTTCTGTGACATGGACCTCAAATAGCCCCTGACAACTAAGTCCAGCTCCAAGACGGAGAATGGGCGAAGAGGAGAAACAGACACCTCATAACCAGCTGTTTTGGAGTAGATGCACCTTGGCAGCCCAGGAAGGCACTGCATCTAGTGGAAGGAAAATATTGATTTTAAACCTCTTTGCGGTCATATCCAAAACATGGAAAAGACTATGGAAGTAAATGCAGTCAGAAAACCCATACTAGAACCCCGAAGGTGGTAAGCTGATAACTTTCCGGTAACTCCTGCAGCCAAGCCGTTCTCAAATGTAATGCCCTTTTGGTTATTTTAGGTACGGCCGAGAAGGGGGTGCATATAGTCTGTGTAGCTATACGTTCTCCATATATAATCGCCAGTCTAGGAGAAGGAAAACTCTGAATTCAAACCACCTGCTACCTTGTCGGTCTCGTCTCTTTAACTTCTGAGAGGAGGGACAGGGTAAACTCATCCCCGGTGCAAAAGGAACCGGTAAGCCATTGCACTATTCCGCCTTGAATGTTACCATGGACCAAAATTGTGAAATAGAAGAGAGTGATGACTACAGCGGCGCAATACGTGCTAAATGAATATATGGACGTAAGCACCGTTTACTCGCCGACAAGATTGACGTCAGAAATAAAATATTTATGCATGCTTCTTAGCAATTTTAATTACTCACGTGAGAATACTTTTGACAGGGAGTTTTTAAACACCAGGTGGAGGAGGGGAGGAGCTTGAAAAATAACTTTACTTATCCAAAAATATTTACAACGACAGCTTAAACTTCTAAGTATCCATTTTCGATATATATCTGGCATCTCGTCTACAGTCACGTTCTCACAGACGTGCCGTCGCTTCCCTCTGTCTTTTCTACAAATACTTTCACGGTAACTGCTCCGACGAGCTACTTTCGCTGGTTCCCAAACTGCACAAATTTAAGCGTGTTACTAGGTTAGCATCTCAGTCCCACCCTTTCACTGTCGAAACTGTTAAATGTAGCCGTCTCTTCTACTTCAATAACTTCATGTCTCACACTTCCCGTCTGTGGAACTCCCTTCCTCTTAGTTGCTTCCCTAATAGCTATAATCTTCAATTATTCAAATGCAATGTTAATCGACATCTTCAGATGCCTTGATCTAATTCCCCGGCCTTCTTTCCATTCATTCCTCTATCACGCTTCTTTACTCTTGCTCCCAATCTCTGTAACCACCCTTTACGTGCTAGTAGCACTCCCGCCTTGCTTAGGATGAAATTCTTATATATATATATATATATATATATATATATATATATATATACTTAAATATTTGTATCTATAAAAAGAATGTATAAACATAAAAAATGTCTTAAAATAATTGTCGGGCTTTGTCCATTTCATAATGTATGACGTCATTTGTTTACATTTGATACGCCATGAGCAGATATGAATGTACGTGAGAGATTCATGGATGATTGAAGTTTAAAAGCAGTAAATTCGATCTTGCGAACCGAACGATCCTCTGTGGCCGAATCGGTTAAAAGGCACGTCAGGCTATATGACGGTTCCGTATAGGGTACAGAATCGAATCCTGTCGGAGTACTAATATTTTCCATGAAAATTTTTGGGACATTCAAGCCGGTAAATGATATTTAATAATGTTTATTATAAACAGAGCTTTTACTTAAATATCTGTATCTATAAAAAGAATGTATGTATGTGTATATATATATATTCATTCATTCATTCAATGAAATACTATACGGGTAAATGTTCTAATAAAATCTGCGAGAACTGCTAATATATTTTCAGTTAAAATGCTATAGTTATGTATTCGATATATTTAATAGTTAGATGTCTGTAGTGTCCCATAAAACTCGATTTTATATGAAGAAACTCTTAGGAGAGATGTTTTTTAAATTTTGTGCCAAAAATGTACCCAAACAAAATAGAGATCGCATCTGAAGTTAGACTATGTCGAATTAAGGACTTAAAAAAATTAAGACAATGTTTAATTAAATAAAATGAATTAATAGGGTTTCGTATTTAAATAATTGAAACCGTAAAATGCTGGTGTTTACTTGTTTATTACCTCCATTTGTAAAAATTCTTTAACAACTTCATACGTTTTAAGTAAAAAATTTACATCGATTACTTGCCATTGAAAGACGTCACTAACATTTTACTTAGATACTTTATACAACAGAGCAGGAACAGCGATATACTGAGACTTGAACAAACTATTTAGTTTCAAGTTCGTCAATAGATGGTATTAATCTAAATCAAAAGTCCCGTATAGAAAATAAGGATTAAAATACTTTGGAACTCTGAAATGGAAACCGACCTTCTATCTAAGCGAGAAGATCTCATCTGGTTTTGGCGAACTAAAACAAAAAATATGTCTACCATACCGCAGAAGTCACTAGACACCATGATAAAGATGAAAGAATCGTAGAAAAAAAGAAAAGAAAGAAAGGGGAAAAAGATATAAAAGAAAGAAAACAAAGAAAAGGAAAAGAAATAAGGAAAAAAGAAACAAAAGAAGAAAAAGAAAGAGGAGGAGAAAAGAAAGAAAAAGATAAAGAAAAGTAACAGCTCTGGAAAACTACTTTACTTAAAGATCACAGCAGTGCCCATAATAGTTTTTGTACTTGGAGCTGCTCTCTAAATACGATAGACGAAACTGGAGGAACTGAAGATTCGAAGACAAATTCAGATAACGCAGATCGTGATAGTACTGAAATAGTCTACAGTGATACTGATAAGAAGACTTGTCACGCAAAGTTTTCAATGACAACACAAATATGTTAAACACATGACAACACAAATATATAAATAAGAGACCTGCGCATTTCCTGCTGGATATAGTGGTTGGTATTTGATCCCGATGTAAAGCAAGATTCTAAGTACTGATTTTTAAAGCGGGCAGGCCTTTCTATAGTAAGAGATTGGCGTATCGCAATCTTCCTTTCTCGATTTCTCTGAATTTGGTCTTATGAACTAAGTTTTGTAATTCTACATAGTCTTAGTGGGAAAACAAAGGTCTTTAAACGGAAGTTATACATTCCTCTCTGCAAAAAAAAATCAGCATTGCGTGACTAAATGAGGCCGCCCATAATTAATTTCAAATGATTTAACGCTTGTGTTAATTATTGGCCATGACAAGCTTTATGAGTTAAAATAGTTTGTCGTTTCCAAAGTTTCTGCATGTGACATGGTTAGTTTTCATGTCTTCGTTTGTAATTATTTCTCTCTACACTATTTACATTGTTCCTACTGTCGTCCTCATCTTTATTGTCATATTCACGACGTTTCAGCCGTTGTACGCTCCGGCCGTCTTCAGGTGATATTCGTTGGAATTTCGAACCGAACCATTTATTTCGTCTACAGTGATAGAATGTTCTATTTCCACGTGCCATGCCTTTTCTGAATATCTCAATTTTCAGTTATTTTCCTTTAGTAATTCAGCTCTCCAATTTTTTGTTCACCTCTGCTGTAGCCAGTTACTGAACTCACAACTCTTTGGGTCAAGTCACTTGATTACTTTAACCAACACTTAGTTACATCTCATAAATATAGGCAGATGATTTCTCTCATTCGCTCAAAACCGATATTAAACAGTGCCTGATAGTTACCCTTTCAAGCAGAACAAAACTTTTAAAATCTACGATACCCATGTGTTTTTTTTTTTCATCTTAAATGCCATGTCACTTCAGACTTCCATGACTCTTCACAGATTTCTTTTCTTTATTATCCATGAATCTCTGTGCATGCTTGGGAAAGATAGTCGAGTGGTTTGACGCGGCCTTCTCCCCGGTTTTGAATTCAAACTCTTCTTTCTCCGAGACTGGTTTCCACTTAAGATTAGAGACCTTAATCTACCCTGCCATTTAAACAAAAAGGCTTGAGA